ACAGGTCAAAGAATCCTTCGTATGTTTGAAGATAATGTTAAGCATTTAACATGCAGTGACCACAATAATTCACTTCGAACAACACTCAGTGAGTCTCGTGCTGCGAAGTTAATTTAAATTAAGAATATTTCAGAAAATCAAAGAAAAATAGATATTATTTACTAATTAATGAAAAACTGATTAATCAGAAATGGTTAACCAATATATTATATTAACACAAATTAATATTTATAATTATAAATAAAAAATATCCTTCTTACATACACTGCGAATGGTGCTAATTATTCTTGTCCAATGATTTATTTTGCTCTAGTTGACACATTAGGGTAGGAAAATAATATGTATGTGATTGTTTGCCGGGTCATTCGAAACAAATGTTCCACTGTCCCTTGAAGGAAGGGTTCTGCGATTTGCATAGGGACATTCGATGCGCTTTTTACCGATCAAACCCTTCTCAGTTCGGTTGCAATATTTAACGTACAATATTAACTTGTTAACAGATGTCACAAATTATGTCGATTTTCCGTCTTGTGTTTTTTCTGTCGCCGTGATATTTCAATGTGTTTATTATGCGAATAAATCATTTGGTGACAACAGAAGATGGGGTTGATTAAAAACACGTCCCATTTATCGGGAGATAATTTTTAAGAATTTAACCAGGGTGTCACACAATAACGCAAATAAAAGCACTAATATTAATAGTAAAAATGAAGTAACAGAGTAAATTATAATTATTTACACTTTTGTATACAGGGGATCCAAAATTGGAGTGATTTATCGGGGGGTGTTTAGGGAGTCCCGACAGGAAAAATCGTAAAAGAATAATTCTTAACATAAAATGAGATATTTGTATCACTGTAAATTGACAATCACTTTTTCTTCAAAAACATCCTTCAACTTTAAGTCTATACTAACGAAAATATTCAGTTGGCAGTTCTCGCCTGCAAAAATGTGTTTAGGTATTCACAGCCGCTTGGGATCACTTAATAAATATTGATTCTTTAATTCTATTTCTAAACCTTTCTCGTGCATACTTTGCAACTAATATTGTTTTTCGATACTCTATTGTTCTCTCAAGTTTCCTCTCTGGAAACTGGACCACCTTGACGACATAAAAAAGGTAGAATTTATTTTCTTTAATAAAAACAAATTGTAAAAATGCATCTAGTTGAATTATGCTGTCCACCACTCTGAACATGTGAGGTTTCAAGACAGCCAAGCCTAAAAAGAATCTAATGTTTCCCAATTATGGGTTTGTGTTGAATTTTAAATCTGATGATGGCGCCCGAAGCGTTATATGAAATAAAAAAGAAAAAATTTAATAACAATTACACGCAGCTAGGAAAATAAATCAAAATAGTGATTAGAGATTGTGGGGAAATCAGAATTGCGATGACGACGAAGAGGAAGAGAAGAACCCTGGCATAACTGGAGCATATAATGAAATTGATGCAAAATTAAAGTTTTCCCTCTACAGATAAGTGTTTGTAAAGAGCCGGTTAAGAAAAAGACTAAACTTTTGAATGCGCCTTCTCACACTATGTATATTTCATGCACCAATGAATAAAAAAATGAGGAACTATGTCACCAAAAAATATTATTTTGGATTCACCAAATTACTTATTTTACATCGGAATGGTCGCTATAAGTATTTGCCAATTCCTTCAGAAAATTAATAAATGTCACTTTATATTATACCGGGCTAAAGGATGACGAGGTGCCCCGTCCGAGGTAAATATTTACAAACTTGTTCAAAGCGATTTTCAGAAATAATTTGGGGAAAAGACACGTTCACAGAACACGTGCCGTATGAAACTTACCATTGTAGTAAACTTTTGATTAGTTTTGTATTTTCGCCTAGATGTAGGCATATGCACTAAGTCTTTACACTGTGAGCATTAAATTTGATGTCAATAATAAACCTGAACGAAAAGGATATTGACTTCGCAAAATAATCAGCATTGGCCTTTGTTTCTTAGAAACGAAATGAGAAGATGCTTTTCTTTATACCACTTAGTACAGTTTTGAATATCTTTCTCTTTTTCTTGATTGAGAATTGAATTAAATTATTTTTTAGTGTTACCATTAAACAAAATTATTCGTTAAAAAACTATGAATTTTATGCTATATTACTTATATATAAGTCATTTGAATAACCTTTCCCGTACGAAACGTAGATATTTCGACCTCAATTCAGACTATTTATCTGTGGAGATTAATTACCTTCTCTTAATAATTTTTACGAAGAAAATAGTGATTGAAAAATGAAAAAGATATAATGGAATAATTGCAAATGAAATGCACTAAAAGTTATGCAAAATAAAATGTTTAATTTGCTTAATATTTGTATATAAAAACACCAATAATATCAACTAAAAGAAAGTTTATTCAAACCAAGAAAAAGATGAAAACGAAGAAACGTTATCATTAAAAACAGTTCCGAAAAGGTCGAAAATATTTTATTGGTCTCCAGAAGCATTTATATAGGACGTTGCAAAATGTAACATTTTCTCCTAAAATGGTTGGCAAATTTCTCCTTCAAAACGACTGCACCCACATTTTGACGATTTCTTGTTTTTATGATACATTATATTTATGATATATTATATTATTCAGATTGATCATTGAGTCAATAGAACTTTTTAAGATCTCTTGTTTGGGAATTCGTTTTACTATAAATTCAGAACCTCTTTAAAGATAAGTAAATCTGTTCCATTAAAACTCAAATAATTGCTAATATTTGCTAAGACATTCAATTTTATATTCAAAATATTTCAGCCACAACTTGGGAAATACTTCTATATACGAATGTAAAAAAACATATTATTACTCAGTTGCAATTTAGAAATAGGAAATATTTTTCTAGTTTGACTGTGAAGTATTTTATTGTGTGTGAAGTTTATACAGTGTAATTTATTGGCTCCATATAAATTGGCGTCATTCCTCTGGAGGTGTCGCGTGGGTTAACAGGTAAAAATATAAGCCAAAAAGGATATTTTTTTTAGCTATATAAATTCATCAGTGTATTCAGTTTTAAATTGTCCCCAAACAAAGACAAAAACAGATGCCTTCAATACGTTCTCTTATTACATGAGTTCTAGTTGTTACAATTAAAGAACTATTTAACTTTAGTTCATTGCCTTAACACAACATGAGTTTTCATTATTTTCAAGCATATAACAACATATTTTGCTAGAAAGTGGCAAAAATGAACAAAGGTGATAGGAATTATAGCTTGGTCTTCAATTCATTCAAGTTTAAGTTTCAGATTACTTGCAAGGAAAGGAAAGATTCTGGGTTTTGTAATACATTTTAAGTTTTGAAGGGCCCAATTGAAAACCTAGCCACAAATGTTACTACGTTTGCATTAAAACGGTTTTAGGTTTGTCAACAAATATTTTTATAGATGCATTATACATTTATGAAGTCGCACTTTTTTCAAGATTAAATTTCTTTTAATCCAGTTTTGGTAAAAAAGGATTGTACACAAAATTGTGTAACAGGCCAAAAGTTCCAAACGAAATACATGCACTTATTTAAAAATTCCGAAAAATATGATGTACATGGTCACTCAAATAAAACAAAGTAGTTCTTCTGAAAACCCTCTAATTATTGATGCCTTTCTATACCCATAGCTAGCGCACTCTGTATAAGAAAGACCCTAAAAGGTTAGGAAGATTTTCAGGTAATGAATTTTCAAGACCTGTATTTATTCCATGCTATATTATTATCACATTATGGGAGATTGCTAATGTCTTCTAACCATATGTTCGTCATTCATACCTTGGTGGTCCATGGCAGCGGGACGTTACAGCCCCGTGATGTCCGTGATGACCGAGATGCTGGCTTGCCAATCTCAACTGTAAAAAAATAATTTTATTATTTATTTGGTCTTCCTACATATATAAGTTTTGTTTTATTTCCTATAAAATCGAAATTTTACTTGTCATTTAAGGCTTTGTAGGCTTAGACGAGTTACTTAATAAATATCACTATTTACTTAAGAAACGTATAAGAAGCAGCTGCATATGAAAAATTTGCAAAAAATACATATCGGCTGGCCAAATTATAAGCTCTGGACATTTTATGGTCAAAAGTCAAAAGGTCTGTATGGTAGCGTATATCAAATATGCGGACGCATTGAGACAAACTTCTCCCTTGCGTTATAGACACCCCAAATACGACAGCTAGAAAACAATTTGAAATGTTTCGATAGCGCTTTCATATCATCATAATATAGAGAATATAAATGACGCAAAGAGATCACAAGTAAGTAAGCAAGGCAAACTGGAAAAAATACATCTTTAACGCCGACATAGGAATATTTCTTATATTTATTTGTTATTATGGTTAAACGTCAGCAAAACTGAAATCCTAATTATAATAAATAAAATAATAATAATAATCAGTCTTTGATTATCAAAAATATATTTAATAGCTAACAAAAGAAATTTGGACTTTATAGCTAGTTATTTGTCTGATTTGATTATTGAAGATATTGAAGATTTTTTCTCCGAAAACGCAAAACAATATTTTATTTCGACGTTTCTGTATTACATCTAGATAAGGGATTTATTTTTTGTTTAAAACCCCTTATAGTTAGAAACGGTTTGAAATATCCCTTCAGCACAGTGTGGAAAAAATTCTTGTTTGTAAACCTAATATCGCAAGATTGGTCCAACTGACTTGAATTAAATTTGGCGCGAGTATACTTGACGTAATGTGAAATAAGGAAAAAATATGACCTAAAAACAATTTGCACCGCCGGCAAATTCATGAGGAAATAGGCAAAAAGTGTTAAACTTTTTGCTAAAGTCATAAAGTCATCATAGGTTTATAGTTGGATTATGTTGGTTATGTATTTTAATCTGCTGAACTCAAATCTAAGCAAAAAAGCGTGTTCGTATTATTACTTTTCCGGAAAATTCGTTATACTCTCAAAAACGTGATTTTTGGTGGTAAAATAACAATGATTTTGTTTTGTTGTTAAACTCTTCAGTTTTTATATATAATTTCTATTCCCAATGGAGTATTTATAAATAAAACTAATAAATATCAAATTCTTCTCCGATACAATTGCGGAAAACCCCAGAAACTTGCGGATTTTCTCAGTTTTCTATTCAGAAAAAAAATTACTCTGAAATTTCAGGCTTTGAATAATGCTAAACATTACTTTAGAAAATCTTATAGTTAAACAATGTTTCGTAAAAACTATTACAATCGACGTCACAAATCAGCCAGCCATTAATAGAAATGAACGAGAATGAACTTGTCTTGGTCTTGCAGTCTTTGACTTGTAAGCCCAAGATCAACAAGACTATGTATACAAGAACAAGACTTTTGCAAGTGTATTGCGAGAGTCTCGCAAGGCCGTGCGACTGAAATGAATATTTGGTTTTAAGCATGGTTGCCCCGGTAGAAAACGATAAAACTAAACGAAATGCGGCCAATAATCCGATACTGAACCGCATTAAATCTGACCTCGTAGCCCTTAAATATGATAAATAAGAAAAACGGACCGTTTAAAAAGCTTAACCGAAAACCTTAAATAAGAAACTAAAGCTCTGAACAAGTGACACATATAAAGAAAACCAATAAAACAATCCGTACTTAAAATGTGATTGATTCTAGATCTTTCCCTTTTTCTTTCAGATTATCTAAATCGGGGGTAGATAGGTAAAGTTAGTTAGCTGTCGATATGTCCTACGTAAAATTGCCGTTTGTGCCCTTCTGTTTGTCCAAGTACAAGCTCAGTTTGTCTCATAGAGTAGCCCTTTTGACTCTGGCTGAATATATATTGATAATTTCTAGTATTTATTTATAATTTCCTTAATATCAATTTATCTTTCTTTAATATCTACTTATAATTTGCTAACGTTTAATTGGTTTTGCTCAATACCCATCAACTTGAAAAACATCAAATTGAAGTGAATATATCTTACACTATGCAGGATGTTCCATGAAAATAGGCTGCAATCCGTAACTTGAAAAATACAATTACAATAATCACGAATAGTTTAGGTGTTAATGTCGTTCCTCCAACTTCAGTCCCAGCGCAAAGACTTTTTTTCAAAAGTTTTGCTGTTTAAGCTCTTGGTCATCCACATTTTGACAAGCTTGCATTCATTTGTATCATATTATTTGTATGTAGTTCTATGTAGAAAATTACTTTTCATTTTTGACCCAGTTTTTGATAAATTTTAATTTGAAATTTAATAATTTCAAAATTAGTTAACAGTTTATAATCGACACTGTAATAAATATTTTTCCAATATCCCTTGCCAATCCTTCCATACAGTTGCTGTATAAACAGTAATATAATTTAATCTTTGCTACGAATTATGTGAATTATTAATAATTGCAATCAAAATATTTACGTATCTACCGCTACGCCGTATACTATCCGCTGTAGATATTTCATTATTGTTGTACTTTCGGTAGAATATGTCAATTACACTGCATGAAAATGTATTCGATTTCTCTGGCTGAAGACTTTCTGGATCTTAAGCGGCAATGAAAAAGTACGGGTCAACAATTTTGAAGAACAAAATAATTAAACTTTTTAATATAGCAAATAGTCTGAGATTATTTTTATTGGTTTGTATTGATTATTATTATCTTTTAATTTAAATACTATTATTTTTATTATTAAATTAATTCCGTCTAATTTTACGGCTTATATCAAAGCATAACTTGCAAGAGTCCAGCCAGGTTGAAATTCGTTTTAAACTCTTAATATCTTCAAGAGAAAATTCTCCAAGTGTGCTCTAAAAGAAATCACTCCAATTTTGAATCACCCTGTAGATAAAAGAGGAAAAATAAATCGAGTTTTCAAACTCTTTGAACGTTAAATATGATAAAAATGCGAAATGATTTATGAATCTCAGCTTGAGTTGGAAAAGGTTGGAAGTGGAACAGATTACGTGCGCCATCACCCTCCCTTAACATTTGCTACCGTTCACTACCTCTCGAAAAATACCTGCAAAGAATGCAAACAACATTAAAACGTCAGTTAAAAATTTCTAAGCTTATTATTCCCATGACATATGCTCGTCGAACTGGGAAATACTGTAACAAAAACGCGACTAAACTTCGAATCGACCCAGGGGGCATTATAAACACAAATATGAGTCCCTCGTTTCTGATTTTGCACTTCGGCACCTTTGAGCCGTGAATAGCGCAGTCGTGCTGCGATACCAATTGTTAGTGTTTGACGGCAAGCGGGGGGAACTCACCCCCCAATCTCACCCCCCTCTGGGCGTCTAATAAGGGCGGAACAGGCGCAATAGGTGATCTAAAGAGGGCAAAATTGATTTGAGATTTTAATTTACACTATTCAGTTTTGTATTGCGCTTGATGTTATGCAATCATTTGATCTACTCAGAATCCGAAAAAAGTTGTGGACCTTGAAAAAGGTACCTGCTGGCAGCAAAATGCGATTAAGGAGGATTTAAAGCGTGACAGGGTGGACTTAACGCTGAAGCGTATAATTCCCTTTTGTTATTTTATAGTGGGAGTAAATAGAGAGCTCTCCAGCTATGCAAAGCTCTTAAACCCTTCAAAAACACCGCCTTAACTATAAAAAAACCTTCAAAATATCAAGCGCCGCACAGTAGTGTTTATGTAGGGTAACCCAAATCTCAACACGCTTATGTGCAATTCGAAGTTTTCGTTCGTGTCACGAATATCTAAATGATTTAAAACACCTACAGAGCTTGTGTTTATTATAATAAAAATCGTTCAAATCAACAACACCGATAATTTATCATTTTCCCGTATTAATATTTAATTGCAGAAGGAATAACTAATTTGACTACGGCTTTACGAAGCTAGATAAAATAGCAACATTTAAAAGATGCAATATTATACAATAATTGCATGATCCCAATGCTTCTTTAGACTACTTAATTAGAGAGAGACTCAAGAAATTATTACATCTCGTGAGAAAAAATGATAAATAAAAATAAAAACCAAAAAGCGAATACAGAAGTGAATATAAAACTATATTAAGTTATTACATAAGATTATGAAAACAGCTGAAATCAAACAGGACTTATGTCGTGTTTATATACTAGTTATTATAAATCAATTAAAATTATCAACCATTTTAGTAGTGATCTAAAAGTAATAAATATTACCAAAAAGTCAAATAAGAATAAATTCAAACTACATAAAATAACACAGCCATTTTGGTTAAAATGCACCACAGAATCTACATATATTGAACAAGTTGATAGGGAGATTTTTGCGATCAAAATCAATAATATATTCAAAATAAATTAATTTTATACATATTGTTTAAAGTGCACTAATTGCGCTACTACTTCTTTTTGTGACATTTTCTGATTTTTCGTTGATTACATTTAAAGTTTTTTCAATGCGTATAGGTATTAGCAGACAAGCTAACATCAAAAACTAAAAAGGTTTTCAAAAAACCCTCAATTTTGAGGAAAAGCATATAAATATAGGGTTTTCTAAGCATATTCTTACCTCAACCATATAGAACTTATCTAAGTTATTTCATGCACTGATTAATAAATGGCATCATCCTTCTTAAGGTTCCATAACATGTTAACCAATATTTTGGGTTTATTTCTATTAGATAATATTTTGGCATATAGTAGCTTTTTAAAAATGGAATTTGAACTTTGCTATTAAGCCACATTTTAAAATAATGGTCATGGTAAATTATGTGTTTTACAAAATAGTAGTAGGCTTGTAATGGCTAACCATTACAAGTAAAACAGTGTAAGACTTGTTTGAACTTACCGGCATTTTCCAATCAGAAAAATTGCATTTTTATAAATTTTTCACATAGCACAACTGAAAAAATCCTTTATAAAGACAAATATTCAGATAC